TGTTAAGTTTGGGTTCGGTTTGCTCTTGCCTTTCCAGAGTCTTGAGTTGTACTGTTAAGTTCATTTATTTGTTGAACTGCTAAGTCATTTATTTCATTTTTTTAATGTAGGCACTTATAAGCTATAAGCTTCCCTCTTAGGACTGCTTTTAAAAATGTCCCAGAGGTTTTGTTGTGTTGTATTATCATTTTCAATCAGTTCCAGGAATACTTCTTTGTCTTCCTAATTTCTTCTTTGACCCATTCATCATTCAGGAGTGTGTTTTCTTAATCTCCTTGAGTTTATATAGTTACTAGAACTTTTGTTGGTGTTGATTTTAAGCTTTATTGTACTGTAGTCTGATGGAATACATATAATTTTTTCTTTTTTTTTTATTTGCTGAGGTTTATTTTGTGTCCCAGAATGTGGTCAATTTTAGAAAACCTTACATAGGCTTCTGAGTAAATTCTTGTGCTGGGGTAGAATATTCTGTAGATGTCTGTTATGTCCATTTGATGTAAGATATCACTTAATTCAGTTGTCTCTGTTTATTCTTTGTCCAGTTGACCTGTCTATTGGAGATAATAGGATAATGAACTCACCTATTATTACTGATTTGTTGTTAATCTATGTTTTATAGTCCTATAATACTGTTTTTATGAAATAAAGTGCAATGGAGTTTGGTGCATATATGTTCAAGATTGTAATATCTTCTTGGCCAATTATTCCTTTGATTAAATGAAATGACAATTTTATCTCTCCTGATTAGTTTCAATTTTAATTCTATTTGTCAGATATTAGAATTGCAACACCTGCTTGCTTCTTAGAGACATTTTCTTTGGAATATTTTTTTCCATCCTTTCAGCCTACTATAATGCCTAGTCTATTGAAGGTAAGATGAGTTTCTTGAAGACAACAAAAAATTGATTTTGTTTCTTTTTTTCCATTTCTATTGAATTTTTGTTTGTATAGAAAAATCATCTTTATACCCACTTCCCCTTTGATCTCCTCCCATAGCCCCCCCTACGCTGGAGTTCATACATTCTGTCATTTGTGTTAAGGCCTATCATGTAAAGCTAGTGTCCCTGGATGTCCCTCAGTGCAAGTTCATTCACGGGGAGTTAGTCAGCCAATCTAGAGTCTTTTCCTTCAAGAAGTTCAGCTCTTTCCCATCCAGCAGTAAATCAGTCACCAATAATTCTACTAAGATAGGGGCCTGATGTTCATTTCCACATTTTTGTGCTGCATTTTTATTTGCCTAAGTTTGTATGAGTCTTGTGCATGCTAACCCTATTGCTGTAGGTTTGTATGAAAAAAGTCCCAGGTACCTGTAGGATCGTTTCTAAATGGTCATGCATCTCCTCCCTGGCTCTTAAAATCTTTCCACCCCCTCTTCCACAATGGTTCCTGAGCCTTAGGTGGGTGGACCTCAACGAAGGAGTTGTGTCCAAGGACTCATACTCTGCAGACTCTCATTCATTGTGTTTTGGCCATTTGTGACTTTTTTCTTTCCTGGCCCTCTATTACATGAGGGAACTTTCTTGAAGAGAATTGAAAGGTGCATTAGTGTTCGCTTCATACCTTGTTCTATGTTCCATGAGTCTTAGGTGTAAAGGTTGACTCTTAGATGTGCCACTTAGATCACAGGCAATCTCTTTGTGTGACCAGTTGTGTAACTCTGTAATAATCTCCGTTTATAAGGATTTGGTGCTAGGATCCACAAATGAGGGAGAACAACCATATGCCTTTTATTTTTCTGAGTCCATGTTACTTCACTTAGTATAACAGTTTCTAGATCCATCTATTTACCCCCAAGTTTCATTATTTCATCTTTCTTTACTGCTGAATAGAACTCCATTGTATAAATATACCACATTTTTGTTAACCATTCATCAATCAAGAGACACTTAGGTTGCTTCCATCTCTTAGCTACTGTGAAAAGAGGAGCAACAAACATGGATGTACAAGTGTCTCTGCCATAGGATGAGTTCTTTGGGTATATGCCAAAGAGTGGTATAACTGGGTCAAATGGTATGGTCATTTTTAGTTTTTTAAGAGTTCTTCACACTGCTTTCCATAGGGGTTGCATGAGTTTGCAATCCCACCAGCAGTGAATGAGTGTTCCCCTTTCTCCACATCCTGGATTTTGTTTCTTAATCTATTCAATTACCCTGTATATTTTGGCTGAGAAGTTGAGGTCATTTATATTTAGAGTTATTATTTAAAGAATTGTATTGGTTACTTTCATTTTAATTTGTTTTTGTTCTTGATCCTATTTTGTGTTTCCATAATTATACTTCCTTTGTTTTCTTTCTGTACCCTCTTGCGTATAGTCATTCCTATCTTTGGTCCTTTGTATTGCTTCAAGTATTCTCTGTAGAAATGGTTTGTTGGACATGAATTATTTTAATTTTATTTTTATGTGTATGAGTATATTGCCTGTATATAGGTAGGTGCATCCTTGTTGTGTAATGCTTGCAGAGGTCAAAAAAAGGACATTGGGTTCCCTGGAACTGTAGTTATGGACAGTTGTTTGCTGCCATGTTGGTGCTGGGAATTGAACTTGGGTCTTCTGCAAGAGCAAGCAGTCCTCTTAACTACTGGGCCATCTTTCCAGCCCCAAGGTGGATGTACTTTCTTTCAGTATGTTTGTGCCATGGAAAATTTTCCATTCCCTTTCGACTATGGTAGATAGTTTTGCTGAGTAGAGTATTCTGGGTTGACATCCATGCTCATTTAGAAATGAAAATATCTTGGTCCAGGTTCTTTTGACTTTCATAGTTTGCATTGAAGTCAGTTGTAATTCTGATGGGTTTTTCCTTTATATGTAACTTACTGTTTTTCTCTTGCAGCTTTTAGTCCCCTCTCTTTGTTTTGTAAATCTAGTGTTGTTACTATGATACACAATGGGGAGTTTCTGTTCTGGTCCTGCCTAATTGGTGTTCTATGTGCTTCTTGTATCTGTATAAGTATGTCTTTCCTTCATTTACAGAATTTTTTGTCTATAAGTCTGTTGAAGAGCTGATCAATGTCATTGACGTGAGATTCTTCTTCTGCCTATATGCCTATGATGCATAGATTCCATCTTTCCATGGTGTCTCACATTTCCTGCACATTCCATTCCTGTGTTTTTAAAAATTTGTCATAGTCTTTCTTGAGGTGTCCAGTTCTTCATCTATTATCCAGCCTTGATATTCTATTTTCCATTTCATTCATTCTGCTTGTGGGGCTTTCTCCTGTTGTTTCAATTTGATTTATTAAATTTTTCTATTCTATCTTCATTTCAGGTTGGGTTTTCTTCAATATTTCTATCTTTTTTGTAAATTCATTTTTCAAGTTTTGAATTGTTTTTTTTATTTCATTCAGCCACATATTTGTATTTCCTAAGCTTCAGTCACATGTTATGCCTATCTTCTTTCTTTGTGTGTTCTTTAAGTTCTTTGATCATGTTTATTAATATTCTTCTTAATTCTGCATTGTCGGGGTCCTTGAGGGTGATTCTTATTGTAATACACTTCTGTAAGACTGGTGGGTTTTGGAGGGGACATATTCTCTTTGTTTTTCATATTAGTTTAATATTAGTTTTAATTTTACATTTCCATTTGAGCATATGGATGTCTTTTGTTGGTTGTGTATCTGATAGGACATTCTATTCTGCCTTTGTTTAGTTGAATTTTGGTTCTGTTCATATTGTTGATGTAGCTTGGTTGCTTTTTGTTCAACTATGGGAAGTTACTTGGTGTGTGCTTTAGGTCTGTGGCAGGCAGAGCAGGAGGGGGGCTAAGGGCAAGACAGGGGTGAGGACAGCCTGTGAAGAGTCTAACAAATGAAACTGGAGAATTGAGCTAGTGTGGGTGCAGGAGATCTGGTCGCAGTGGGCAGAACTGGATTAAGATCTGGGGCAGAAAGGGCAGGAGCAGGCCTAGACCCAAAGCTAGAAGGAGGACCCGAGTAGGTGGAGAGAGTAGAGCTGCTCAGGGTGCAGGAGAATGAAGGCACAGTGATACGCAGGTCTGTGGCAGGCAGTCCAAGAGGCCAAGGGTAAGGTGGGGGTGGGGACAGCTTGTGGAGAGTCTAACAAATTAAAGTGGAAGATTAAGTTAGTCTGGATTAGGACATTAGTCCAGAGATCTGAAGCAGAATAGAAAGAGTGTGCCAAGGCCCAAAGCTCGAAGGGGGACCAAATGATGGGAGAGAGTGGAGCTGCTCAGACTGCATGTGATTCAAGGTGCAGTCTCATTCATCTTTATGGTAGAATATTATTCCATTCTGTATATGTATCATTAATTCTTTATCCATTCATCAGTTGATGGGCTCTTCGGCTGAGCCAATATCGTTAGCATGTAAGTGGAAAGACATTAGTATTGTACAAACAGAGGACAAAGCTTGAAAACTTGTAGATGGTCATCTGGGAAGTTGAGTGAGATAAACAACAGGAAGTAAGTGACAAACACAGGATGCTTGGTGATCTTTCTGTCACATATCCATATCAGAGGAAGTCACTCTCTTGGAGGACTGTGTAGAGTCTGTATAGCAGAAAGGGCAATAGCTGCTGCTGTTTGTGCTCTGAAAAGATGCAAAGGTAGGAAGAAACCATACTTCATTTTAGGTGCTTGCTTTGTCTCTGAGAAGGGGTCTATCAGGGAAATGAGACAGCCTGGGCTATGCGCAGGTCAGTGTAAGCAGAACTAAAGAAAACCCAGGAGCAGAGAGTATGTATGGATTATAAACTTTGAGAGGAAATCACCCAGTTTTCTTAGGCTCATGCCCATTGTTTTAAGGTTATTAACACTGACACTTTGCTAAGGTCAGGTATAGAACCATTTACAATTTATTTGAGTTAATTCTTTTGGAAGATATAGAAATAATGTTATTGGGAAAATTCAAGCATGTCAGACACAAATTGAATAAGATCCTATTCTCAGAAACCACAAGTCCCTGGGCCTAGGTATTGTCAACCGTGATGGAAGAGATTTGAAGTAGACCGACACTGACAAATCTTTCTTTGCTGATATAAACAGCAACAACTGGACATCCAGGAAAGACACAAACAGCAGACTGGCCATGAACGTTCCCATGAGTGAGAATGTCCTCCAACCAGGACAGCTGAATGGCTTGGTCCTGCCCTTTCAGCAGCAGAAGACATTGCTGATCTTCCTGAAGGGGCAGCCACAGGTCCTGGGGGTAAGTGCATGAGAACAGAGCACAGGACTGGGAGAGACGACTACTTCCTGACTGGACTAGGGTGACAAGAAAGCAGCTCTCTAGATCATTTGTCCCATAATGACCTTAACAAAACCTAAAAACTCAGGAACTGGAGAGGTGCAACAAAGCTACCTATCATTGAAGAAACTGCCCCTATTGTCTTCATCTATATAACAAACAGAAGAATACATTTTAAGACTAGACTCAAAGCCCTCATTTGGATGGGTGAAAGTCATGACCTGTTTCCTTTATGGAAAGCCTTCCCATATTTCGAGTTTTGAAGGAAGGAAGAAAAATAAATGTGCAATTATCATGGGAAAGTCTTTCCTCCTGATGGGCTGCACCTCTTCAGACAACATTCCTTTCCTTCCAGGTGGCTCAGATTCTCATTGGGCTGACGACACTGTGCCTGGCAGTCATGGTGACTCTGATTACTCAGGATTTATTTGACAATTTAATTCTGATTAAAATAGGATACCACCCATGGGAATCTTTCTCTGTAAGTATCATCTTTCTACCCTCAAGACCTTCAACCATCTCACTCCATAGTCCATGCATTTCTTTTCAGGTCCCAAGGTGGGATCAACTATTTAGTAGATGATGGTGACTGGACAGTCAAGGGAGACAAGAGGATATTGTAGGCAAAGGTGTGCAAATGCAAGCTCTGAGTGCTTCTCTCTTTGATCAGTTCTTGATATCTGGAACACTGCCCATTGCTGCTGGAAGGGAAATGACCAGGGGTTTGGTGACTGTCTTATCATGGAGACTTGGGTGAGCACAGTGAAAGGGAGATGTTTTAGTCACATAAAATCTTTCTGATTCTTTATGGCCCTATATATGAGCTGAAATGGTTCTGTGACCTTTGGGAGAGAGTGATTGGCTTCACTGATGGATGTAGCTCTCTGCCCCATGACATCCTGGGAAATATGCTGTCTGCTTTAGAACTTTGAGGATTCAGAGCTGCTGCTCTACTGGCTGCTGCATCCTGATTCGTCCTGAGTAGGAACGGTCACCAGGTTGAGTCTCAAATGCAGCTCATCTTAGTTGAGTGACAATTAGTGACCATGCAAACACAGGAAGGATTACAGGTAAGGAATTTTGACAGCCTCATTTTCTCATTCTTTTCAGATTCAAGGTAGCTTGGGAATGAACACTGTCAGTGCCGCTGTGGTGGTGATTGGTACGGGTTTGCTATTTAAGACATGGCAGAATTGCCTATGTGAACAGATCTGTATACTGTATATGCTTTCACCACAGTATTTCTTGTTCTATGGATGATGATTTTTTAAAAATATTTTATTTACTATTTTTATTTTATGTGTATGTGTGTATTGCCTACATGTAGGTAAGTACACCCATGTCATGCAATGCCCATGAATGACAGAAGAGGATGTTGGATTCCCTGGAACGGAGCTATGGACAGTTGTTAGATGCCATGTGGGTGCTGGGATTCGAACTCAGGTCTTCTGCAAGAACAATTAGTGTTCTTAACCACTGAGCCATCTTTCTAGCCCCAGATGATCATTTTTTAAAACCATTTTGCCATCTAAAATATTACTTGTGATCCTCACTTTGGACTTCGGTTCTACAAAAGCTGAACTATCCCCTCGAAGTTGTAGGAACTAGTTCTATTTCACAATGTCATGAGTACTGAGCAGAAAAGTTAGTTTTTGCAAGCCTCTCCCAGATGCCATGATGATATGCCATATCTGGTAGAAAATTCTGTAAGAACTCAATCCTTGCCAGGAGTCCATGTTTTCTGGAGGCAGAAAAGGAAAACTGTGGGTTTTTGTTGCTTTGTGGTCAGCAAATGTCTGGGCTGACTAGATGGTAAATGGTTGTATTTGTTGAAGTAATATAACTCAAATTGCAGAGAATTTCAGGGAGCTAATGACAAGCTGCTTTATGTGTGAGACACACGTCACTTCCAAGAAGACGTCTGTCTTAGCTTCCTTTCTCCTGCTGTGATAAAATACTGACAAAAGAAACTTGGAGAAGAAAGGGTTTGTTTCAGCTTCAGTACAGACCTTCATGGGGAAGACAGAGTAGGGTTGCACACAAACAGCCTAGAGGTAGGAACTGAAGCAGAGATCGTGAAGGAATGCTGCTCACTCACTTACTTCACTGCCTTGCTCAGTTGCTTTTTAAAAATATAACCCAGAACCACCTGTCCAGGAATGACACTTCCCACAGAGGGCTGGACCCTCCTACATCAATCAGTAATTTTTAAATGCCCTACAGACATACCCACAAGGTTAATACACTGGAGGAAATTCCTCAGTTGAAGTTCCCTCTTCCCTGGTGACATTAGATTGGTCCAGTTGTGGCAAAAAGTAGAAGCACTTTTCTGGACTTGACATGGCTATTGGACTAATGACCTCACAGCACCTGTGGTTATTGCCAAAAGACCTGCATAAGATTGAGCCTGTTAACTATCCTTCATTGATGAGGGAGGATAACATGAGATCTCACCCTTTCTACGGAACTATAGGCAAATAATGATTGCTGAAGGTTGGGTAGTTGAATTTCTCAATGGTATAGCCACTAGTAAGTTTTCTTTATTCAAGCAAATAACTTATTGCCCATGTTCAGGTGAGTAACCCCATCAAACACAGTGAGTCACAGTAAAAGTAACTCAAGTAGGAAGGGGATCTTAAGAAGAAGAAAGAGTTCAATGGGACTTGATGGAGGCTAAGAGCATAATGGGGAGAGCCTATTATCAAAGTACTTTAGATAGATAGATAATAGATGATAAATAGATGATTGATAGATAGATATAGATGATTGATATAGATAGATAGATAGATGATAGATAGATGATGTATGATAGATGGATAGATGATAGATATAGTGATAGAAAGATATATGATAGCTAAATTGATAGATAGATGATTGATAGATGATAGATAGGTAGATATATGATAGATGATAGATAGATAGGTAGATAGATAATAGGTAGGTAGATAGATGATATACAGATATATGATAAATATATGATTGATAGATATAGATAGATGATTGATAGATAGATAGATGACAGATGATAGGTAGATAGACGATTGATAGATAAAGATAGGTAAGTAGATTGATGATAGATAGATAGGTGTTAGATAGAAGATAGATAGATAGATAGATGATAGATAGGTGATAGATATGAGACAAATGATAGATGATAGATAAATGATAGATAGATAGATGATTGATAGATAGATAGATAGATAGATAGATGTGTGTATGAAATTGTGAAGGAACAATTTTTACAATTTTTGTTTTATTTTGTTTTTTATTATTTATTTATTAGCCACATACTTAGAAGAAGCATTTCATTACAACAGCACTGACATATTCAATAACAATATCCTGAGCTAAGATATATCTCTTTCAAAATTGACTGTAAATTTTTAGGTTTACAGTTGAATTATTACAGTTATACAATATTGTACTCAGTATAAACCCTATAAGACATAAAATTAA